GCCAGATGTGCCGGTGGACCATTAGGCCGAATTTGGGCCAAGTGCATTTGGCAACCCGCACCTGGCCCTTAAGCAAGCGGAGGTGGCTGGAGAACCAGGGTGAGGATCAGGAATAGGAGGCAGTTAGGGAGATGAAGGGGGCAAGGACGTCGAGTGTGGTGGAGAGGGTGCTGTGGAGAAGAGTGAGTGCAGTGGATTGTTGTGAGAGGTGGGCCAGAGGGAGAGGAGATCAGAGGACTCCAGGGCAGCATAGAGGGATTGTGGGGAGATCTTCTTCCTCGGACGGTAGAAGATGGTGGTAGGTTTGGAGGTAACGGGGAGAGGGATATGGGAATTGAGGGAGATGAAATAGTGGTCAGAGATGGCCTTGTCAGTGATGGTGACATCCGAGACGCTGACGCCTTGGGTGATCACCAGGTCGAGCGGATGACCGTGGGTGTGGGTAGCAGAGTGGATGTGGGAGGGAGAGGTGGAGAGAGAAGAGAGGAGAAGTCTGAGGATATGGAGCAGGCGGGGTGAAGTGGAGATTGAAGTTGCGGTTGTACAGCTCCTTTCACTTGGAATGACCGTTCTCAGAGTGCTTTAAAAAGAGGATCGGGATTGCAGAGCAGGGTCAGAGGGAGGAGGAGGTTGGAGAATGGGGGAGAATATGGTTTGTGATATCCTCACATTAATAATCATGTTAATATGATATAGCTTCTTTCACGTCAGGAGGTCATCTCATAGCGCTTCATAGGATTTACTATAAAGGTTTCTGACTGCATTTTGTAGGCTAACTTTACAGTATATTCTGTGAAGCACTTTGAGACATCCTCCTGACGTGGAAGGCATTGTGTCAAATGTAAACATTATTATTATTTTATTTATTCGAAGATATAGACCAGAAGTACGGCTAAAGGTAACTTAGGATGGTTTCGAAGACAGGAAGAGAAGGAGCAAAGCTTTTGTGAGAGACTACCAGGCAGTGGGATGTGCCATAGAGACTGAAAGCTCAAGCACTGATGGCAGGGCAGGGCAGAAAGGTTGAGGAATGAGCAGTTGAGCAGTCGGGTAGAGAGCACAAGCAGATGAATTCGGAAGAATCCACTGTTTTCTTCTGCAACTTCCTCTGGAATCCTCTTGCCCTTACGTCCTCACACCCTCCACCCCATCAACGGCAGCCGAGCCTTCAGCAATTATCCCCTTGCCCTTTGAAACTCTCCCAAAGTCTCTTGCAACCCCCACCAGCTTTCTCTCTCTCTCGCTCCTTAATTTTCCCTGCCTTCAAAACACTGCGAAAATAAAATATTGTTTCGACCTTATTTTCCGTCAATATATTTGATACTGTCTCCGAGACACTACCTTGCATAAAAGGGCACTCAGTTCAAGTTATTGTTGTTCTAATTCTCCCTTCCTTCTCCCTATCGACACGTGCTTCGAGATGTTAATTCTAAAACCAACAATGGGTTGGTGCGAGTGCAAGATATGGTTGAAAACCTCAAATTGCCGAAGGTAGTTCAGGATAAATTGCACTTAGCACAGAGTCATCTTACAGATGCTACATTTTTCCTCACGCTTGCTATACACTATCGAGCTCGCGATCTCATTGCATTCCTGCACGCAGCATCATTCCAACTCTCACAGAAACAATTATTTTCAACAGCTTACAATAACAATTCCCCCCAACCACTCTACTCCCCCGGGAAATGAGGCTTGAGCAGTGAGTATCCCTGAGGAGCTTGGATTCGGGAAGTGGTATGACGAGATAAGGGCTTTTTTAGATTTGAGTTTTCGACCTTATCTCATTATCTTCTGATCCTTAACCCTTCCACCAGAATCCTTGAATTACAGAAATCTCAGGACATCCAAAGACCATCCTCACAACTCCATCCCAATTATTCCACAAAACACCTGCTGGGTGGGAGGGGAGTTTGGGTATGGGCGTGGACTGTGAGTACCAGTTTCCTATTGCGCTGCTCATATTGAGAAATAGCTCATGATATCCTGAGCCATCGTTTCTGTCTCTCCTGAAATGAGGACTCTTTTCGTTCTCAGATTGACGACTACCAGTGTGACTCAACAAGGACAACAAGTTGCATTTATACAAAGCCCTTCACGGAGGATAATGCCTCGGAGGGCTTCACAATTACAGGGTTGGGCCCTGAATAAGAGAAGGGAGAAAGGAGATTCAGTACTAGCCATTTGCAGACAGTAATGACCCAAAATGTCCCACAGCCAAGAGGTGAGTGACGAATTCTATCTGGGCGAAACTCCTTTTCTCTTAATCTCAAATAGTGCCATGGGATCTTTAACGTTCACTTGAATAATCAGATGGGACCTCAGTTTAATGTCTCACCTGAAGGTTGGCAACCTTTGACATGCAGTACTCCCACAGCACTGAATTGGAATGTCAGAAAGATTATAAGTTCAAAGCCTTAATGTAGGGCTTGAAGCCCATGGCCTTCTGACTCAGAGGCGAGAGCGCTACTAACTGAGCCAGAATGACACCTAAATTGCTGACAAATACAATCCTTTGGCAGCTCATAATTTTTAACTAGTTGAGGAATGGGATTCGAGCAGGCGATAGTAGAGGAACGAGCATTAGTACGGGCACAGAGAGCTGAATGACATCACTCTGCACTGTAAACATTACAACTAACCCTTTGCCATTATTCCCCGACAAAAAGAACGCTGACTAAATCACGAGGGAGTGGTCTCAGCGAGAGCCAAGGGTTCACCTCGTCACAGCACAACCCAAAAACATCTTCACTGCTGAATGTCATATGGCGTCATGAGCTCTTCTCTCATTGCGTTATCACCTCTCCTTGCTTACATTTGCAATGTCTATCAAGAGCTTATTAATGACAATAACTCTCTATCAACCTATTGTTGTAATGATAATCTCATTTCGTTTAAAGCCGGAAGTCATTTGCAACAATTATTTTAATTAGCACAGATAAAACTGTGCTCCTGAGAGACTGCCAAACTAATCTCCCTTTGTCTGACACTTCTGACCCAAGCGACTTTTAATGTGATTTCTTGAGTTGAATATTATTAATCTATACGTGTGTTTGTTTATGTGCATGTTTATGTGTGTGAATCTTCCAATCTCAGGAAGGCTGAAAGCATGCAAATATCATGCTGCATTAAACCCCCAATAAAATAGTTTAATGTTATAAAATTCAGAGAATTCTGTGTCTGTCAGTTACCATGGTTACACCATCTAATTTAAGTTTACTCACTAACTTTGTGAAACCACTTGATATCACAATCCTTGTATCTTCCTCTCCCTCTCTCTCCTTCTTCACTGAACCTCTCCCCAATACAACGCAAAGGCACCTGCACAAGTGGTCACAGGTTCAAGGGTGTGAAGAGCAATTTTAGGACAGACACCAGGAAGTGTTTTTGTTCATAGGTAACAACAACCACCACCAAATTAGTAGGTAATTAACAACCAAAATGAGGTTACTGGGTAGGATTGTTGAGGCCAGGAGCTGGATTCCTTCACAAATAGTAGGAACAACAGTACAATAGGGAGATGGTACAATAGGCAGGTGGTCAGTTGGGTATTTTGGAAAGGATGAAAGCAAATGGGCCAAAAGGCCTTCTCCATCCAAACTTCTCTTGTGATCTCTTGCGCACTATACAATTCTCGTCTAGCCCTATTTTCTTGGCTATTCTTTTTCGGATTACTCTCTGCCAGTTCCTCACTCCCTCAACTGGTAAATACCATTGTTTATGTGTATGTGGCTGTCTATGGAGTCCTGTAGCTCAGTGGTTAGAGCACTCGCTTTGCAAGTGAGAGACCCGAGTTCAATTCCAGGCAGGGCAAAACCTTGGGCAAGTTTCCTTACTTCACACGCCTAATAATAATCCCTCCAAAACCCAAACAATAATAAATTGGTCGTTTTTAATCTACGACTGTTTGTGGGACACTGCTGTGCGCAATTGGCTGCCGCGTTCGCCCACAAATATACAGTGAATTCACTTTACAGTGTGTTCTGTGCAGCGCTTTGGGACGTCCTCCTGACGTGAAAAGCGCTATATCAAATGCAAGGATTATTATTATTATTATGTGAGCATGTGTGTTTGTATACACTTGTGAGTGTGTATGTTTGTGTGTGTGTGTGCATGAGCATGTGTGTAAGTATGAGTGTGAATATATATATATATAATATTATATATACAATATATTTGTGTGTGTGTAAGTATGAGTGTGTGTGTGTGAGAGAGAACTGGTCACATTTTAACTAATTCATATATGCGTCATTTAAAGAATCACTTCATGTAGAGGCCAAGCGAAACCTCAGTAACAATATTAAAATATTTCTGCTTCTGGCTCATTTCAGTCCTTTCCCCTGACGCCCCTCTCTGGGTCTGAGTCTTCGTGTTCTGCACACTTACACCTGCCTGAAAATGACCTGCTGTGTTCCCATGGCTCAGTGCCAGACTGGAGCTGAAACCTCACTATTTTTTTACGTGCTGCCTGCCATGTATGTTGAATGAAAATCATCTTTCAGTGTCAGGGTAACAGCTGCATTGCGATCATCGCCAGCTAATCACCAACTCCCCCGCTAGGAACGACCTCCAATCTCCCTGAGGAGCAACGACGAGTTATAACTTCAATGGAGTTTTCCTGTAGTTGTGTGGTTCAGCCACTATGCCTAACCCTAACTCTCTGCTGTCTGGAAATCTCTCCCCAAATCCCATTGATTTGTGCCCCTCTCTCCCTTCATTCAAACACCCCCAAACACCTATTTACCTCAGTTGGTTTCACTCTCGTCTCTGATTCAGACAGTTGCGGATTGAAGCTCTATGTCTGGTTTTGAGGTCAGTCACGATTGTCTGTGTGTCACTGCTTGTGCCCAATTGGCACAAAATACCCAACACATTGTGTGAAGCCCTTTGAGATATCTCAATGATGAGATCAGGCTCTCTATCAAATGTAAAGATTATTATTATTATGATGATGATGTGTCCATCAGCGGAGTGACCATTGCCTTCCCGGGCTCTTGGCTCACCTCGTACTCCTCTTTGAAGCCATAGCCTTCGGAGCATTTCATCTGTGTGATGTGCTGTAGCAGATCTGCCACGCGGATGGCCGGGTGGAGCTGGCCTGTCTGATAGGGCACGTCCACAGCCTCACGCTTCTTGTAGCTGTGCGGCTGCACCAGGCTGTTGGCCTCGTTGGCAATTGTGTGGTTTTCATCTACACAGACAGACAGGAGGGGATTAAACACATGCAAACCCAACGCTTTCTCAGCTCCCCAGATAGCTTTGTTAAAAATGTATTTTCTCTACAACCCTTACTCTCAGACCATCCCATGCCCCCTTCCCGGCACTACTTCTCTACCTCCTCCCTCCGGTGCTACCTCTCTCTCCTCTTCCCCCATCCCCCCAAAAAATTGCAATAATCAGATTGAAAACCTCTTGTTACTATCTTGACTGAAGCCTCTTTAATGTACGGGTATCTATTGTGTTGGACCACCGTTTTACAGCTGCGTAAAGCGATGGTTTAATGCAGCATTGCTTTCTTACCGAGGTTAAAACACAATCCCTCAGAGACGGCATGAGATAAATTGGCGAAATCACTCATGTGGATAAGACAAAAGGCTACAGGCAATTTCTAAAAATTATTTTAATGACCGAGTGAGTTAATTGCCGACAGAAACAGCGCTTTTGTCGAGAGAGAGTTATTTTTTGGCTTGTTCAGGACGTTGCTTTAAAGGAAGCATGAATATTCTTTTTTTAAAGAGCCCCTTATCACGTCTTAACGGTGGTTCAAAGCTCTTCATGGATAATTGCTGTCAAATGTGGTGACTGTCTTGGCTGGTGAGCGAACACGTCATTCGTTTTGTGCATAGCAACATCCCGCAAGCAGCCATGAGGTGGATGGCCAGTACTGTCTGGTAGATTGTTAGCTGGGACAAACTCTCTGCTCTTTTCTAAAAGTGCCAGGTGAGCTCCAGACGAGCTAGGTATCAGCCTGACTCTATTGGTAGCACTCTCGCCTCTGAGACAGAAGGTTGTGGGTTCAAGCCCCGCTGGGGGACTTTAAACTCACATTGTCTCGGCTGACATTCCAATACAGTGCTGGGGGAGCACTGCATTATCAGAGGTGCTGTTCCTTCGGCTGAGATGTTAAACTGAGGTACCGTGTGTCTGTTCAGGTGCACGTCAAAGAACCTCATGACACTATTTGAAAAGGGAAGGGAGTTTCTCCCGGTTTCCTGGCCAACAATTAAATTCATCATTCACTCCATGGCTGTTTGTACTGTGCACAAGTTGGCTATCATGTGTGTCTACAGAATAACAGTCACTGCACTTTACAGTGAATCCTGTGAAGTGCTTTGAGATGTCCTCCCGACGTGAAAAAAATCAAATGTAACAAATATTAATGTCAGGGGATCCTTAACGTTCACCTGGTGAACAGGCGGGCGGGATCTCAGTTTAGTGTCTTATCCTGGTCCGACCTTACCCTACAGCTGTAAAATGCCTTGAAGCTCTGTAGATTTTAGGTGAAGAATAAAATAGTGGGACAGGATGGAGAGGGAGGCTTCCTTCTCTTCCCAATGCTGACCTAAACCCATCCCTGGTAACAGAATGAATCACCCTACAAACTAACCAGCAAGTGGCCAGCATTCCGAATCCTCCCACAGACAAGCAAACACTGTGACAATGATACACTCATTCACTGGAAATGAAATCTAGGTCCAGAAATTAACGTCAAAGCTTTTTTAAAATTTCACCTGAACTGATTTGTTTCCCACTCCCCGCCTCCTCTTCTCCCTCTTCCCCCCCACCCGCAGCTCCCCCCCCCCCACCCCCAACTCCTGAATAAACCAAGCTCAAGTAATGGTTTGTAGAAATTCCCTCAGTTTTGGAAGTGAGAAGGAGATACAGCAATATATACACAGGCTGACCGCAGTTATAACGCAGTAGTTTGGAGTTATATGGGGAGGGGTTCCGGAAAAATGGCAGTTGGTTAGTGATTCAAGTTCGTCAGGTTGCTGCAGACATAATTTCCTGTGCGCTATATGCAGGAAGCTGGTCAGGCGGAAATTTCCCATACTTCAGTATGTCCATTGTGCGATCGCACTATAAACATAACCCCTCTAAACTGAAGTGCATTATAACAGGGTCTGTCTGTACACTTAATATTATTCCTGCAAATACTTCAACTGCAATTTTTGGGGGGAGGTTTCATTTTTTTATATATGCATATATATTTTGCTTTCTTTATTTTTTTTTTACCCAAACTGCCGGAGCGCTTTAAATCTGCAATTTAATTTCCAGCCTTGATTTCATGGTTGTGGTGGTGGGAATAAACAATTCACAGCAAGCCGCAATACTTCACATCTAGAAATGAAGATGGAACGGTGGATGGTGACTTCGAGAGAGAGAGAGAGAGAGAGAGAAAGAAAGACAGAGACAGCTACAAATAAATAGTGATGATGGAAGGGGCGAGTGCAAAAACATGCCAACTGAATACCACAATGGCAAACGTGAGAGGTGATTCTTTGTGGGAGGAAGGTCTGTGTGTGTGTGGGGAGGGAAGAGCGAGAGGAAGTGAGGGGAGGGGAAAGGGATAATGTTCTGAAAAGTCGCTTTGCATGCCAGTAACCGAATGGCTTTACAGCGGGACATGGGGTTGTCACACAGGGCATGAAATGTTATATGTCAACTGCCATGCAAGTCAACACACAACAGAGCTGGCCAGAGCGGGGTTGAAAGTCGTACAAACCGTCTCCGAACTAGGGCAAAACAGAGGAACTTACCATTTATTGGCACTTTTTTTAAATACAAAAAGATACATAAACAGGTTAACGTGGAGAAAAAAAAGGAGAAAAGGAAACAGGGCATAAGCAAGAACAATATCGTGAACGGCGTATATTTGTTTTGTTGTAAAAAAAAAGATAAAATTTTGATTTCTTTCTCGAGTTTCCAACAATTTTTAAACTTAGCTCAGTTCAAAAAGTAATAGTAATTATAACAATCATGGAGAGATGCATTGGTGTGTTTTATCCAGCGCTCTGAGGTGCTAGCCTGCGTGAAGGGCGCTGTGTAAAGGCACGTTATTGTGGATGTTGTTGTGATCTTATTTGGTTTCTTGATGTGTGTTGTGCTGGTGCCCCTTGCGAGTGTAGTGATTTTGCAGCCACAAATTGACTTGCTTACAAGGCTATTGGGGATTTCCACCACAAAACGTGACAGAAACGAGGTGAGTCCTTTAAATCCTACACATTTGTAGATATCAGTGTCAATTTCAATTTCATCTCGATCGCAGCTCCAATGACTGGAACTGGAAGTATGTATGGAATGGCTGGTGGGGGGGGGGGGCCTGATCAGGGAAAAGGTGCGTGTGTGTATGTCTTTGTGTGTGTGTGTTTGGATGGGGATGGTGAGAGTTAGGACGAGGGGTGGAGGGTTGTAGGGGAGGTTAAGAGAACAGGACACTGCATTACAATTACAATAGCCAGGTCATGCTCAATTCTCTCCTCCAGCGTTTTTTAGGTGCCCAGTTTCATCAACTTTACAGTTAAGAGAAAAACAAAAGGCACCAAAGAAAAAGTGAGCTAAGCCCCCCTCCCCCCCACCCTCCAAAAAAATCAACTGGAGTGACATTGACGATCGGGTGCCGGTGTGGACGTTTCACTGAGATCCGCAAAGGCCCGAAATTCTACCTAGTCTTAGCCTGTGAGTCTTAAAATTTGAAATCTTCCAGAACTCCTACAATGGCTACACTTTACATTAAATCCTGTGAAGCGCTTTGAGACATCCTCCTGACGTGAAAGGCGCTGTATCAAATGCAAGGATTATTACTGTTAGTAATAAAATTTGAGAACTTGCTTAAAAATACAGAGTGGCTACACTTTACAATAAACACTGTGAAGCGCTTTGAGAGACTATCCTGCTTCAAAGGTAGTGGACCATCCTGTATCAAATGTATGTTATTATTGTTGTTGTTATAACTTTGGAAAATTCCTCAGTCCAGTCTTAAGTTAGAAGTTGTTTAATGCATCGCTGAAAATTTTAAGGCAAGATGGTTCTCACAAGCTAAAGCTAGGGGGAATTTCGGGCTCTGGTCATGTGAAGTGCAATGTGGCAAAATGATGCACTATTTTAAAGAGATGTCACTCTATTTCCACTCTTTCCAATTAATAAAGTACAATAGCCGTGAGCCGCTGTATTTACTAGCCGACCTCCCCTGCCTGACCTACGGTAAGTGGGAGAGAAAGAAAGAGCCTCACCTAATATTGCAGTTGGCACAAATGGATCTGCGGACCGGCCATTAAGAAGGAGCAAGACATGAGAATGGCACCAGAGAAAAAAGCTGCAGTTAGTTTCCAATCTTGATTCACTGGCCACAGTATTTACATCTTTAACAACCTTGATTCATTACCAGCCCAACACTGAGACGCTGTTTCCGATGAACCTTTAAGCCCCTTTCCCCCCCACCACCCCCACCCCCTACCCCCAGGCTGGAGGGTCCCTGGACTCGATAGGGGAATGTTACCACACCTTTACGTGGAGAAGAACATATTCTTGCCAATGATGACAAGGTGGAATTGCAATTGCAGAGTTCATGTTGTGTCTGTTGAGGATAATAATTATGTGGAGTCCTGTAGCTCAGTGGTTAGAGCACTCGCCTCGCAAGCGGGAGACTTGGGTTCGATTCCCGGGCAAGGCGAAATGTTGGGCAAGTTTCCTTACTCCACACACCTCTGTTTACCTAGCAGTAAGTCGGAACCCAGCTGTTAGTCAATTGGCGGATTGCTTTTCCGAGGGTAATCATTCCTTAAAGAAAATAATAATAAATTGGTCACTCAATCCACGACTGTTTGTGGGACACTGCTGTGTGCAATTGGCTGCCGCGTTTCACCCACACAACATACAGTCGATTCACTTTACAGTATATTCTTTGAAGCGCTTTGAGACGTCGTGAAGACGTGATAAGGCGCTATATCAAGTGTAAGGATTACTGTTATTATTTATTATTACTTGCACAGAACTGGAAGGTAATCATATGATTCAGGGATTCTTTCTATGTAAGTTTTTCTATGTCCAATCATTTTTTTTTTCTCTAGTCCTCACCCCATCCGAGTACGCCTCTTTGCTCCTGGTCTTCTCCCTTCCCCCCTCCCTCATCGCTGAGGTGAGATTCTATGGGCGCTGGTTGCTCTTTGATTACCCCCCCCCGCTCGGACT